ATGGAGAGAATATAAGATCCCATTGTGCTTTTTGTTTGCTGGTTATTTTTTTAAAAAGCATTTGATTTAGTAGCAACATGCTGCAGTTAAGGTTGTCTTCCAACAAGGTGTTTTCCATATGTACATCACAGGATTATAGATTTGGAGCAAGGAGAGAATTTAAAGTCATCTGTTCCAATTCACACAGCATTTTACAGATGAAGAAACTAAGACCCAGAAAGGTTAAGGGATTTATCTAGGGTCAAACAGGTATTTCCAAGTCCTCTCACAAGGAGAGAACATTCCTGGTATGGGGGACGGCCTGTGCAAAAGCCTGGAGGACAATGTAAGAAGAATAGCAAGTAGTACAAGTTGGCTAGAACATAGAGTGTGTGAGGGCAGAGTGATGTGAAATGAGTCTAGAAAGATGGGCTGGAACCAGATCATTAAGGGCTTTTAATTTTATTTTTATTTTCAGTTCCAAATTCTTTCTCTCCCTACCTATTGAAAAGGCAAGAAGTACTATTCCCATTATACATATGAAATCATGCAAAATATTTCCACATTAGCCATGTTATGGGGTGAGGGTAGGAAAGGGAAAGCAAGAAAAATAAAGGAAAGGGGAAAATATGCTTCATTATGCACTTTGAACCCATCAGTTCTCTATCTGGAGGTGGATAGCATTTAACATCATGAGTCCTTTGGAGCTGTGGTAGATCATTGTATTGATCAGAGCTGATTAGCTTTATAATATTGGTGTTACTTTGTAGAGTATTCCCCTGGTTCTGCTCACTTCACTCTGCATCAGTCCGTATAAATCTTACCAGGTTTTTCTGAAACCATCCCCTTCATCATTTCTTACAGCACAGTAGTATGTCTTTACATTCATATACCATAACTTGTTTGTCCATTCCCCGGTTGATGGGCATCCCCTCAATTTCTAGTTCTTTGCAACCACAAAAAGAGCTGCGGTAAATATTTTTTGCATATACATCCTTTTTCTTTTTCTAGCCTTGAAGTCAAACCATTGGTAGAGAACAGTGTTAAGTCAGAAAGCCTCTGCTGTAAGCCACGTTGGAGAGGTCAATTCATGACTTTACCTACCTTTTTCAACACAAAGCAGTGATATGTATCAGGGTGAACTGATGGTTTCAGGCTTAAAGGGCAAGAATGAAATAACTGAGGGACAGCTAGGTGGCACAGTGGATAGAGCTCTAGCCTTGGAGTCAGGAGGAACTTAGTTCAAATCTGACCTCAGACACTTGACTCTTACTAGCAGTGTGATGCTGGGCAAGTCACTTAACCCCGATTGCCTCACCAAAACAAAAGAAACAAACAAAAGAATGAAATAACTGGAACCTCATGGAAAATTCTGAACATGTGATTTTATTGTTCTTTATGTTTGTGTGGTTGTCTTATTTTGTTTTTTAAGAAATTTTATTGTTCAGTCATATCTGACTTCATGAACCCATTTGGAGTTTTCTTGGCAAAGATACTGTAGTGCTTTGCCATTTCCTTCTCTGTCTCATTTTACAGATGAGGAAACTGAGGCAAACAGGGTTAAGTGACTTGCCCAGGGTCATACAGCTAGTTAGTGTCTGAGGCTGAATTTGAACTCTCTTCCCTACTTTAGGCATGGCACTCTATCCACTGTGCCACCTTCATTGTACCTATTAAAGAAGTAGTCACATACTATCGTGTCCTTCACACAGAGATGAGTTTTAGAACTTGTTCAGTTCTTTGTAAGTAGGGAAAGACGCTTAGGTAGCAAGCAGTTTATGCTTTGTTTGCCAAGGGATTTCTATTGTATAGATGTATTGTATTGCTGACCATTTCTGGTATCAGTGTCATGTGTAAGTAATAGCCCACCCTTAAGATACTTTGTTTTGCTTTTTTAAGTTTCAGGAGACTTTTGAAGTAACCTGTAATTCTGAATTTGTAGGCCACATAAGAAGTAAATCTGGTTATGCAAGTAAAGATCCAGAAATAGTTAGATGGAAAGATTGGAAAGTTAGATGAAAACTTATAGGTTTTTATAAGCAACACTACGTAAATAGGATTCGGTTCCAATAATATTGTTAACAGTACCTGCTGTCTACAGGCCACTGCTGAGTGTTGGAGATATAGAAAATAACACACTGCTCCTGGCCTCGGGGAGGTTACAGTCTAATAGGGATTGAATGGGTAGGAATGGAAACTGGAGGCAGTAGTATGCTAAAGCCCAGCACTTGGTAAGACTTTCCTGGTCAATATAATTTCAGTAAGAACTCGCTATCAATAAGTAATGGAAAGAGCTGAGGAGATGCAGGTCTGTAGCCCAGCTTCTTGTCCTGGCCCAGCCACCAAGTCTCTGTGTGACTCTGTGTCTCGGTCCCCTCCTCTATAAAGTAGGGGGCGAATTGAATTGATCTGTAAGATAGCATTGACATCTTGTGTTCTAAGATTTCTCCTAGCTCTAATGTGCTTCTACAGAATGTATGTTGGTGGTGATGCCTCCAGACTGAATAATGAGATGAATGGGTGAAGGCCTGGGAGGAGGGGCAGGTGATTTGAAGGGCTGGCAGTGTGGTCTGAACTGTGCTTCTGGGTTGTGGTTGCACAGGTGTTCTGTCCTGTGCAGCTACAACCATGGTCAAGATCTTCCTTCATAGATTTAAACTTTATGACAGATAGTTGGAGTGGTGCAAGAGTCAGCAGAAACCTGTTAACATACTCCAGGCAGTGACTCCTCCTCACCCAAAAGATCAAATATAAAGTTCTCTATTTGGTATTCAAAGCCTTTCCTAGCCTGCCTCCCCAGCCATACCTTTCCCCACCTCTCTTATATCTTACACAACCCCTCCTCCCTTTTCATTCTTTGATCCAGCACTGCTAGCCTCCTGGCTCTTATTCTGTCTCCCTACTCCAGGCATTTTCATTGACTGTACCCATGCATGGCATGCCCTCCTTCCTCATCTCTCCCTCCTGGTCTTCCTGGTCTCATTCAAGTTCTGGCTAAAATTCTGCCTTCTACCAGAAGCCTTTCCTTGTCCTGATCCCTTTTAATTCTAGTTAATTGTTTGTTAAGTTATTTGCATAATATCTCTCCCATTAGATTGTGAGCTCTTGAGGGCAGGGATTGTATTTTCCTTTCTTTGTATCCGCAGCATTTAGGGCACAGTGCCTGGCACATAGTAGGCCTTTAATAAATGTTTATTGACTGACAGCTTGCAAACTGACACTATCAAAACCTAATTCTGTACCAGCTAATGCTGACCTTAATTTCCATTTTAAAATAAACAAAAAAAAACCCCAAACCTTTTACCACTTGATTATTTGTGTCTATTAACGAAGCTTGCTAAAGAGTATTAAATTCTATGGTAGAGGAGATTTATGACATATATAGTATTGCTCTCAAATGATGACTCTAAGACAGGTATCCTTATGTTCTGGCAGAGAGAAGGCTACTAGGATTATATTTCAGTCTCATTCAACAGTTGTATATTTTCTTTCATGTTGACATGACCTTAATCCTGTCTCACTCCTAAGTTACAAGCAGAATCCTGAAAATTGGCTGGCCCAGCTTTAGACCCCCATCCTAGTTGAGGTTAGACTCCAATTTAGGTAGGCAGCCAATAGAAGAGAAGATAGAATTTCTTTCCCAAGTTTGGTGCTAAAAGGGACCTTCCTATAAACCTCCTCACTAACTAACATCAAAGCAAAACCATGAGATTTCCCTTTCTCCTCCCACATATTCACACCCCACTATATTCATTGTAAACCTAATCTCAGTTTTGCTGCTTTTCTGGATGATCATTTTTCTGGACATAAGTTTTCTCATTTCTAAAATGAGGATTTGGATTAGGTGATCACGAAGGTCCGTTTTAGCCCTAAATTCTATGCTTTTATGATTCATGAGATAGGGTCCTCAGCGTGTGTTTTGCCCCCCTACCCCCGACCATTCCTTTCGGAGGTCTTTTCTAGTGAGGGATGCCTTGTAGTGGAGTTGTGACAAAAGGAAACCAACCTTTCTCCTAGAGCTACATGACTGAGACTGAGTTGCTCTAGCCATGTAGTGTATGGCTGGGTCCGTATGAAGTTTGTTGCAGTGTATGTATACTTTACATCTTATCAAAGTGGTGATCAGTCTAGTCTTCTTGCCTATGGGCCAAAGTGCAGCTCGTTTCTAGATAACTCCCAAGGCCAGATAGCGTATCTAAAGTCATCCTTCTTTCTGACTAAGGGATAACTGTTAATAACATGAACGTGAACTTTGGGTCTATAGCCAGCATATGCTGTGCGAATTGGCTAGTTAAGTTTTATTTAGATTTTTTTAGAAAGAGATTATTCTTCCTATCTAAAATGTTACAGAAATCCCTTTTGCTGTCTTTTAGAATTGCCTCTCTTCACCTAGCCCAGGTTTTCACTCAATTTCAGCTGTTATCTTGTCTTCTGTGATGTCCTAAATAGGAAACTTCTTTTATTTCTGAACTGGGAGGACCAAGTACTACACCGGGAACCAAGAGACCGAGGGATGGGTTTTTGTTGGAGCTCTGCCACCTACCTGTGTGACTTGGAGGATATACATCCCCTCTCTAGGTCTCAGTTTCTTTATTTATAAAAAATAAGGAGGTTGGACCAGATAACTTCTCAGGACCTTTTCCAGCTCCAACATTCTATGGGCCTGCTTAAGCTTATTCTTCCTTCTTGATATGTTCATCAGAAGTATATAAAGTGATAAGGATCTCATCTAGTGATATATTAAAAACTTTTTCTCAGATTCCTTTGCCTTCTCTCTTAACTCTGTGGCCCAAAGAAATCAGCCTGCAAGGAGACTGCTGGGACTAAGATGTCCCTAAACAAATTTGTTAGATTGTTTTTGGTTTTTTTTTTTTTGCTTTCCCTGTCCAAGAAATTGGGCCTGTCAGAAAAGCTAGAGAGTCCATTTTACATTGGGTAGATTGCTCACTGCCACAAGTAGCAAGCTAAACGGAGCCATTGCCCTCCTCACTCAGAGTTCTTCTACCTGGGGTTGTTTTCAGATTCTCAGCGCTCTCATCTCTCCTCCTTCACCATGAAGCTGATGGACAAATTTCACTCGCCCAAAATCAAGAGAACACCATCAAAGAAAGGAAAACCAGCCGATGTGCCTGTGAAAACTCTTGAGAAACCTGTGAACAAAGTAAGTAGATGAATGGGGCTTCTCTGCATCTTCTGGGTTAGTCTTGCTGGCCTTTACCTGCTAGGATTGATAGAGGCTGCTGCTGTTTTTAAATTGCATTCCCAGGAAATGTTCCTTCTAGCACCTTGCACCTATTCCATAGTATTTCGTTATTTTAGGAGAGGCCTTCTGAGTTGCTATAGTATGAACCATCCAGATGGTCAGTGTTTTAATTTTATCAAAAGCAAACTCCGTTGGCCCAAAGCCATTTGCCTTTTCTAGTTCTCTAATCCTTTGGGCATTTAAGCAACTCTGTGTGGAATATGCCTCATGTTCACACCGCTCACGATGCCACCGCCTCCCCACCCCAAAGTTTCCCACGTTCCCGGGTGTACATATGCACCACCATGGAGTGTATGGTTTCCAGATCATCTCTTGGCTTTAGGGTGTGTGCTTTTAAAAATGCAAAGTCTTTGAACCTTAGCCAAAGATGTCCTCAATCGCTGGTAACCTCAACAGGGGGAATCCAGCAGATGCACTGAAACAGCTGCTGATGCTGTCAGCCCCTCCCTCCAGCCTAAAATGGCCATGTCAAGCCCTGTAGGAATCCAGGTTTCCTCTCTTCCAGGAGGCCACAGACACTTTTCTACCAGAGGGCTACCCTCCTCCCTTGGATCTGGATCACCAAGCAGTACAATTTATGTCCACCAGTGCTGTGGTTCCCAGGTCTCAGAGGCAGAAGGTCAGTGTGACATTAAGAACAATTGGGGTTGCCTTCTCCTGCCGCGAACCCTGATCCCGTATTTGGGGGGGGATTAAGACAACCTATTCCATCTTCATGTACTGGGTTCTCTGTTTTCTTTGGGTTGGGTGGTAGCTGTGGGTTCAGAGTGCATTAAGGAAATAACTCAAAGGGGCCTCAGATGCCATCTTCAGATCAAACAGAGAGCTGGCAGCCCAGGGGTCCTTGGACAGTACTCCATGCTTCCATGTGCCACATCCTGGAATCCTTTGAGTGGTTGGGTTGGGTGAGGTACTCCTCGGAGTCTGTTCCTGGTAAGTGGGTGGGTTTCATCTCTCAACAGCTGTTTTTCCTAGTTACCAAAATTATCTGAATAGCTTAGAAGGGAGTAGGACCTTCTGGGGAGAGGGGAGGAGGGAAGATATGGGTTATAGTCAGGAAAGGGCATGTATCTTGAGGCCTTGAACTTCACAAGCAGACAACGAGTCTGGATTAAGATGTGAAGGGGACAGACAGTGGGTTCACAAAGGCTATGCCATCGAAGTTAAATTCCAGTAGCGCCTTCCAAATTGGAAAGGCCATTCATCCAGGTTCTAGTAATAGATTTTATCTGCTCTGCAAAGACCAGTCTAGTCCAGTATGGGGTGGCTTATCCCCAGAAGGTTGGCCAGTTGGTGATAATTTTTTTATCTGTGGTGACCCATCCAGAGGAACCAACTTCATGAAAACTGGAGATCACATTTGTGGTAACAATTAATTAGCATAATTAATATCTTCATATTGACCTGAAATTATGACAGTATGTTTTTAAAAAGCTTAATGATTTAGGACAAAAATCAGACCTTAAAAAGAAACAAATTCAAGTAACTATCAGAGGTGGATTTTTAGCAGAGGATGTCCTAACCATCAGTGATGATGCAACTGGCCCGTAAATTTTGATTCTTTATGCTTTTGCCTTGACCTAGAGTTTTGTAGTGTGACTGTTTTTCCTTTTGAGATTAATTTACCGAGTACCTTAAGAAAATATTAGTTAACTTTGGGGTGTGGGTCAGGGGGAGGTGGAGGAGGTTTTATTGTCTTATTATAGTAGAGTAAATTTTTGGGTGAACTTTCCCCATAGCAAGGGGGATCCTGGGATTGAAAGTGAAATATTTAGATTTTGCAAGAGCTGACCTAAAATCCAGATCACAAGACCATGGTTAAGTAGTAAAATGGGAGGTTTGGTCTGTGCCACAATTATGTTTTATTAAAGGTTATCTAGCAGTCTACTAGAGGAGAGTTTAATATTAAACTCTGAGGAGAGTGCAGGATGTCATATTGCATCAACCTAGACAGCCCAGCTTCAAATGATTTACTAACAGCCGTGTTCAAGCTTTGCCTGGAGCCTGTTGAAATATTATTGGGTTTACTAGTAGGACACATGGACCCTTTGGCTTTTAAAGGAATAATCTTTGCTTAAAGGGGCATGGGCACACTGGATATTCTTCTGTCTTTACTGTTCTCTTTATCATCATCTGCCAGTTCACTGCCTGCCAGAGAGCATTTTCACATACACCTGAATGTGTGGAAGCTCTTTTTTTGGCACAGAGGACCTTGGGTGTAAAGCTGTTTCAGATGCTTTATTGTTGCTTCTCTCTCTTCTTTCCCCCCAACCCCCACCCCGGCCCAGTGTAGCCTAGATGAGGAAGAGGGGAAAATAGATGTTAAAGTGTCATTTGCTTGGTGGGGAATCCAAAAAAAACCCAACCAAGCAGATGGTTTGAGCATGGGGGAAAGCAATAAGAAAAGGCAGAGGCTTTCTCAAGGTACAGAATGACTCATGAGAGAGGAAGATAGAAAGTTAGCCTGAGGTTTCAAATAATGTTCTTTGGCCCAGTTTAATTCCTTCTTTTTGATTATGCCTCTTCAAGGGTGAATCACTGTAATCAGATAATAAGCCACTTGAGTGATTATGCTGGACAAAGTGAATATAACAGGGTATTTTTCTAAATCCACACATACAATGGGAACATAAGGACAACCTAGGAAGTGTTGGGGAGTCTGCCAAGGTATAGGAACCCAGACTATGCCAAAAAGATTTTTAGGATTTCTTTGTTATTTCTGAGATTCAAGACAGTTGCATTTTTATTAATTTGTGCACTTTGTATTTACATATGAGGTTTCCATAACACTTTCCCTATAGAGAATATGAAGAATCCCATAAAGATTTATAAACTTTTAAGCATTTTAAAAAAGAAACAGTAAGATGAAATAGAGGAAAGAATGAAATAAATTGAATAGAGCCCCAAAGGAGAGTAAGACCCTGGGAGATTAAGCCTTTCAGTGCAGTCCAGGCATGTTCCAGGCTCTGCTGTGGTAGGTACTGCGAATAAAGTCTTCCTGTTTTTAAATATGTAAATATCCTGTATTTAAAGAAAAAAATAGGCTATGCCCTCAAGGAACTTACATTCTCCTAAAAATAAACAGGAGTTAATGGTGATTTGAGAAGGACTGGGGATACTGTGAACTAGGTACTGAGCAATAATGGTAGATGCCAAGTAGCTTCATTTAAATAGATAAATAATGATAACAAGAGCTAGTAATAGACTAAATGGCTGTTACAGAACAATGCAATGGAATGGAAAGAGCACAAGACAGGATATTAGGAGATATCCCAGCTCTGCTGTGACCTTGGCCAAGTCACTTCCTTTCCCCTGTCCTCTGGGCCTCAATCAGTCAGTAAGCATTTATTAAGTGCCTATTATATGTCAGGTACTGTACTAAGAGCTAGAGATACAAAGAAAGCCCAAAAAACACAAACTAAAAAACACAATCCCAACTCCCAAGGAGCTCACAGTCTAATATGCAGAAAACTGTGCACAAACAAGATATTGACGGGGTAAATTAGGGATATTCTCAGAGGGAAAGCACTAAGATTAAGGTGGACTGGGAAAGTTTTTTGTATAAAGTAAAACTTTAGCTGAAACTTGAAGAAAGCCAGAAGACAAGGGATGAGAGAAAGACTAGTCTAGCCGTCGTAGGCAGACAGTTATGAGGAAGGGAGTTAGGTGTCAGAAGACTGGAAAGATAGGAAGAGAAGTTGTGAAGGACTTTAAAAGCCAAACAGAGAATTTTATATTTGATCACAGAGGTAATAGGGAGCCACAGGAGTTTATATTTCCCCATCTGTCAGATGAAGCATTTGGATAATTTGTTATCTAATAGCCTTACTCCTCCAACATTCTGTAATTCTCTCTTTTGTAGGGTCCCCTCTAGTTCCAACATTGTCTGATTCTGATTTTGGAATTTATGACAGTGTAGATGGGCTGACATTCACCTTTGCTTATCTGTTAAAGGGGTAATATATACTAAGAAAACAAAATCTTAAATGATTTCAAAGGTATCAGAAATTGAGTCTGTTTTCATAGATTTCATTTTAACCTTTTTACATTTCATATTAAAAAAATTATATCTCATTGTTGCTTAGCCCTGGTTTTTATATTTTCTTGAGAATAACAAAACTGTACTTCTTTAGAATTATCCTAATAATCTAACTTTTTACAGATTGGTCTTCCCCCATGAAAAACCCAAATTTACATAGGCCAAATATACCATAAGTACATGGAATGTTTGTAATTGACACAATTGTTGGGAATACTAATGGCACCCAATTAGGGGAATGGCAGCAAAAGTACAAATGATTAGTCAAACACAAAAGCGGACAATTATCTAATTCTCATAATGCTACTTATACCTTGTCGATCTTCAATGAATACTTGTTCACTGATTATAGCATCGAGCTATCTGAGGACCACAGTGAGAGCTCTCCTGTCAGCAGCTTCTCATCTAAACCTGTCGTGCATAGAATATGATAAAATAACTGAGCAATAGTTATTTTGTCATGTAGAAAGAGCAGTAGAGTGGGAGTCAGGAGACCTGGGCTCTAGTCCTGATACTAATTCACAGGTGACCTTAGGCAGATCTCTTCATTTTTCTTATCCCCATTTGTCAAATGACAAATTATGGTTCTAAAGGCACAGTATTAAATAATTGAATCTTTCATCTTTTTTCTTCTCCTTTTCACTCTTCATGTTTTCTCCAGTCTTTCCTTCTCCCCACCTGTGCTTTAGACCTGCCTTCCATCCCTATGGGCGTTTCTTAGTGGGTTGTGCCTGGGAAAGCTAAAAGTGAGACTGACTCCTGACTTAGACCCTTATTCCCGTATTTAGAATTCACTAGCGTTGTGTGATTATTTGAGTCAGTGGCAGTACCTTGAACCTAGTGCTACGAGCAGCACATGTCAGTAAGAGAGTTTGTTTGGCTTGCCTTCGGTCCAGAGAGTTTGTGTCTCAATCTAAGTGAAGTGGAGGGATTGAGTTCCTACTTCTTGCTCAGGCTTCTTGTAAATAAATACCTCAGCCTAAACTGCTTGGACTGCTGACTGAATTTTCCAAGAAAGCCACTATTTAGTAGCTGAAGGGACTGAAGGAAAGCATAATGCCCAGAGGACATTCATTCTAGAAGAATTTGTAGGAGAGTTAATGTATGAAGCCTAAATCTGTCAACTCCTGTATTAGGAAATTCTGGCTGCCTCCCTAAATGGACAGATTTGACAGAGAATCTTAGAACAGCAGAGTTTTAAGGGAGCATGTCATGAAATCCTCCCTTCTCCCATTGTCTTCGGAAAGGTTTCCATCCCAATAGCAAAGCTTCTCACAGAGTTTTCTCCATTGCATCGTCTTTTTTTTTTTTTTCAGCTGTCACCATGAACTCCCACATTGTACAGATATTCCCAGAGCTCTACATTTTGTAGACTCATAGAATATCAGGACTGGAAGGGGACCTTAAAGATCAGCTATTGCAACTGTCTCACTTTACAGTCTTTGAAAATTGTCAGTAGTTTTTTATTTGTGCATGAATGGGAATACCCTCCCCCCCTTTTCTCATGTGCACTGAATGATGGTCCCTCCTTTCTTTTCCTTCTATACTGTTTTGCTTGATAATCTCATTAGCTCCCATGGATTCAATTATCTCTATGCAAATGATTCATAGATCTATTTATCCATCCCTAACTTCTCTCTCCTGATCTCTGGTCTCGAATCTCCAACTGTCTTTTGGAATCTCGAACTAGATGTCTCATAGACATCTTAAACTCATTATGTCCAAATTTAGCTCATTATCTTTCCTTCCAACTTCTTCGCTCTTCTGACTTCCTTATTGTTATTGAGAATCCCAGTCACCAAAGCTTACAACCTGGGTATTGTCCTCAGTCCTTCACTCTCTATCACCATATAAAATCTGTTGCCAAGCCCTATCATTTTACCTTCATGATATCTCTTGGATATGTCCTTTTCTCTCCTCTGCCACCACTGCTGTGGTCCAGACCCTCATCAGCTCACACCTGGACTGTTGCAATAGGCTTCTGATTGGTCTCTGAAATTTCTCCTCCCTGCGGTTCATCCTTCACTTAGCTACTAACGGCTCTAATTAAAGTGCAGATCTGAGCTGACCACAGCAACACTCCCTGTGCAATTAACTCCAGGGTCTTCCTATTCCCTCCAGGATCAAGTAGACAATCCTTTGTTTAGCTTTTAAAACCTTTCCTACTGGTCCTTTCCGGCCTTCTTAGACTTTGCTTCTTTCCCAGTCCTCTTCAGTCTGGTGACATCGGCCTTCTTGCTAGCGCTCCTGAAACAAAACCCTGTTTCTCCTGACTCTGGGCATTTTCACTGACTGTCCGCCTTTTCTGAGCTTCTCTCCCTCCTCCTCTCCCCCTCCTGGCTTCCCTGCCTTCCCTGTGAGATTAGGGCCAATTTATCCCTTACGAGTCTTGTTTGTACTTACTCATGTGCATGTTGTCTCTCCCATTAGACTGTGAACTAGTTCTTTGGGGGAAGAGACTATTTTTTGCCTTTCTTTGTACTCCCAGATCTTAGTATGTTGCCTGGCAGATAGTAAGTGCTTAATAAAGGTTGCTGACTTTTAACCATTTTAATGGTTTGAATTTAATATTTATTCTTCTTTCAGCCCTCCTTGTCTCTCCCCTTTGGGGACTGAGAAGCTAGCGTAGTATGCACAGACTTTTCATTGCTTTCCTTTTAATTATTCAAAGAAGCTACAAGTAAGGTGGTTAATAAGGTTTGATTGGCAGAGATTTCGGTTTAAATCTAATGTTGCTTTCTGTGTTTATGGGTAGGTGTCCATTCTTTTGAGCATTCTCACTAGTTGAGTCTATGTGATGAAGTCACCCAAAAGAGGGAATGGTGATTTTAGAACCCTAATCCCACAGAAGATACGGGATGTCATTTCCTTGTCCAAATTGTAATTGTAATCTCTATTACTCGGATAGGTTATCCATTTTGTGAATATTTATCATTATCTACCATTCCCTTTTCTCTACCCTCTATCTTGACATCAGGCCATTGAGAGAAGAGATAGACTGGAAACAGCATGAGATAGTGGAAAAATTCCTGGATTTGGAGACAGAGGGACCCGGGTTCAAATCCTGGCTGCGCTCCCTACTACACTGTGTGACCTTAGGCAAGTCACCTTGTACTAGGCCTCAGTATTTCAGCAGTAAAATTAAAGAGTTGGACTAGATGACCTTCCTGGTCCCTTCCTGCTCTAGATCTAGGATCAGATGATCCACACTGGGAGGGGGAATAGAGACAAGCATGAAAGGGCTGACTGTGTGAGGGTCTGCATTTCTCTGCCTTACTACATGTGACTTATTGCATCCCAAAGACAAATGACTTGGAGGTACTTGGTGCTTTCTGTTAATGTGGATCATCAAAAATGGATTATTTTCTTCTCCTTTGTAAGAGGACTTTTACCGTGAGTAAAGGAAACCTGGATCCTGACAGCCACTGTTTATGCTTTTCCTGGGTGAATGACATTGCCATCTTCTCTTTGCCAGAGCAGCACCACCTTCTCACCCAGAGAACACTCATCTCTTGGTGGTTCCTGAGTCCTTTAGGATTAATTTGTTTTTAAATTGATATGTACCCAAGCCATTTGGAAGTAGTTTTGTATCCAGTGGAAAGTTACGATGGAGTATTTTGTTTTTAACCCTCCCAAACCTAGGTAGACCCATCAATCTTAGAGAACCATGAAAGGAAGTTTCCATATATGATCTGCAGCCTAGATCTTTATGTGCCTCAAGGGACCCTTCTGCTGGTTTTCTAAATATCTTATTGCCATTAGCAAATTAGTTGTCATGATACCTTGATTAGTGGCACTCTCTGTATGGGGATTCTTAGAAGGAGGCAATATATGACTTTTCAAGGCCACAGGCTAGTAAGTCTGTTTAAGAAGCCAAGAAGGGAATTTAGGAAGATATATCTAAGCATCCTATGTCCAGGCTCCCTCTGGTTCCCTGGAGGAGGGCAGATACCACACATGTGTGTGTGTGTGTGTGTGTGTGTGTGTGTGTACATGCATATATAAAATGTGTGTATACACATATACATACATATGTGTGTGTGCGCGTGTGTGTGTGTGTGTGTGTGTGTGTATGTGTCCTCACTGCCATCCTTTGGGTGGGATTTTCTGTGGCTAAGAGCTTTTCCTTTTCCCATCAGCCTCAGACTAATTTCAGTGAAATAACAATAGCTTCCTTTAATCTCTCTCTTTTCCCCTCCTCATCCTCAACTCACTGTTTCAGAATCTCAGCTGGCTGGAAGAGAAAGAGAAAGAGGTTGTCAGTGCCTTGCGCTACTTTAAGACCATTGTGGACAAAATGGCCATTGACAAGAAGGTATTGGAAATGCTTCCAGGCTCGGCCAGCAAGGTTCTGGAGGCCATCCTGCCACTAGTGCAGATCGACCCTCGAATTCAGCAGAGGTGAGTTGCTTTGGGTTTTTGCAGAGGGTCAGAACTGGATAAGAACAGTTCCAGAGAGTTCAAGATGTCAGTAATCAGGTGGTGCCACGGTACCGGCTTGGCTGATGTGATCTTCTGTGTCCTCCACCTCCCCTGCACCTGTTCTCTGATTTGCTCAAAGGAGTGCTTGCCTAGGATCACAGGACTTAGAACTCAGAGGATTTCCCATCAACTTATCCAAGAGTTTGTAACTGTTTTTATGTCATTGACTCCCTTCTTAAGAATGTTTTTAAATGTGTAAAATAAAATACATAGGATTAAAAAAAGAAACCAATTATATTGAAATACAGTTTTATGTATGTGTATATGTGTGTGTGTGTGTGTGTGTGTGTGTATGTATATAAAACCACTTTCATGGATCTAGATAAAAACTTCCGATTTAGTCCAGTCCTTTCATTATACAGACAAAGAACCTGAGGCCTAGAGAGGGGTAGCATCTTTTCTAAGGACACACAAGTACTAACGAGCAAAGCGGCAATTAGAACTCAGGCCTTCTGACCCCAAGTCCAGGGTACTTTTCACTATGTTCTGCTGCCTTCTCACCACACTATGCTGTCCTCTACTGCTTCTATACCTCACTTGAAATGCACTCCCTGCCCCCTTGACCCTGATCAAGTGCCACTTCTAGAATCATGGAGTCCTGGAAAAGGAAGGGACCTCAGCAAGCACCTCGCCCAATGCCCACCTGAAGACTGAGTTCCCCCTTGATGTCTCTAAGAAGTGACCAGTGACCAGTCAGTCTTGGCTTGAAGATCTTCCCTGATGGAGGATTTATTTACCTTTTGAGATAGCCTGTTCCATTTTTGAACTGCTCCCATTATTAGGACGCTTTTTCCTTATGCAGAGCCAAAGTCTGTCTCTCTTATAACTTCTCCCCAGTGGTTCTAGTTCTTCTGTGTCCTGGGGCTAAGGAGAACAAGATTAATCCCTCACCCACACGATGGCCCTTCAGATATCTGAAGATAGTTATCATAAACCTCCTCCCCCGAAAAAACCCCGAATGTTCTTGAGTCTAAGCATGATCAGTTCCTCAGACTGAGTGATGTATTTAAAGTTCAAAGGGCTAATTGTGAATGCCGGCTCTGCCACTTAGTAAAACTCTGTGACCTCCAGCTGGTTTCCTCATCTTCAGGAAGAAGTGGTTGCATTTCATGACCTCTGAGGTCTCTTTATGATTATTTTAACCAGCTCTACTCTGGCAAGTTTTCAAGTTTCCTCTTCCATGAAGCTTCCCCCAGTCAGGTGGGATGGATCTCCTCCTCCTGTTCTGAAACCACACGGCACTTTCTTTGTCCCTTTCTCACACTGAGCATCTAATCAAAGTTTTGTCTCATTCCACGTGCTCCCCTGATAAATGCTTTGAGAATCAGAACTGCATCTTTTTCATATTTATGTTCCCCTCACCTCACACATAGTAGGCACCCCCTAAATGTCTTTTGAATTGAATTGTTAAGCTGTTTGTAATAATTGAACTGATCTAGACACATCTAGATCTTCAGCCTGGTTTTATTCAGACATTAAATCCAAGCTCGTGATTCACATGCAGTATGTAAAACAGGAGCATCCTTAACCCTCTCTCCTACTCCATTGACTGTCCCAAAGATTTTCGGTTATTGCAAACTTGAGTTCACATCTGCTAATATGTGGAAATCTGGAAGCCTGTGAGAAAAAGGCTGGTCTTCCCCGCAGTGTCAGCTTTGTCAGGAGTTTATAGGAATTGCTGCCCTTTGATCCTAACAGAACTACTTATCAGACACCTATTGTATGTAGACCATTGTACTGGATACCAGGAGAAATAACAGTATTTAAATAAGAGGTGGTCCCTGCCTTCATAAAGCTTACAGTAAGACAGTTCACTGCAACCCCCTCTTCACTCTCTGAGTCTGTTTTCTTCTGTGTAAAATGGAGATACTATCAGTAACACCAACTTCACAAGGTTATTGTGAGTAAGATGCTGTGTAAACTTCAAAGTATTTCATAAATTCAGGTTACTAATTTTTGAAACACAAATACAAGTAACTGTAGTCTATAATAATTCATTTTTTAAAATGGAAGTGAAGTGCTAAATGAGACCTAAGGGAGGAAATAGTTACCAGCCAGGGGACCAGGACCAGTTTCCTGGAGGAAATGGGGCTTAAAGAATAGGTGAGGATTCAGCAGGCAAAGAAGAGAAGGGGAAGACATTTCAGGCATAGGAAACAACTTGGACAAAGGGCCAGAGGCAGCAAAGAGCTATTTGTGTATTGGGACTGAGTCCAGTTTGACTGGCATAGAGGGTACGTAGTAGAGGTGACTAGTAGGGCATTAGGCTGGTGGTGGTTGTTGTGGTTTGTCCTTCATTCTTGAGGACCATGACATCAGGAAGGTGATGCCATGTCATGCAAGTGAATTGGATTTAAGTGAGGATGGGCTGTGCAAGGTCAGCAGCCTCACTTTCTCCTCTAGAGCCATCTGGGTCCAATGGTGAAATACAGATCAGGACGACTGGCCCAGGATGCAGTGGGAGACCTTGGCCTTTTTAAGCTGAGTTTTCACTTTGACTGAGGCAAGCCCATTCAGTGATTAAGGCTGGTTAAGAAATGAGCCAAGGCATGGCCCCTTTTATCTAATAAAAAAAAAATCAATCTGGGAGGTGAGGAGAGGAGAGAACACAGATTAGTTGCCCAACTGGAAGTGGCCAGTTGGGTCCCCAGTGGGCAGCTTGGACTACTCACAGGTTGTTATTTGTCCTTCATCCTTGAAAGAAGATGGTGTCATAACTTGCAAGTGAATTGGATTTAAGTGAGGGAGGGCTATGCAAAGTCACTAGCCTCACTCTCTCCTCTCAGGGACTAGGGCTGTAGAAAAAAGATGGTATCAGATCAGGACAGTCCTTGAATGCTGTGCAGAGGAGTTAGAACTTGATTCAATATTCAGTAGGAAAACTTGGAAGTAAAGGGTGGCATCAACAAATAGACATTTAAGAAAGGCTATTTGGGCATGATGTGAAGGGTGAATTTGAGAGGGAATACTTAAGAAAATTATATGGAGTTGATACTTTAGATGCTAGAGAGTGCATGTCTGTCTTAAGGAGTAAAGCAATAGATTTGTCCAGAACAACCCATTCTTGTTCAATAATACATGAAAAGTTTTTTGTTTTATTTTTAATAGAATAAAATCCTCATTGAAAGCAAACCAGATTGAGACAGGTCTTGAGTGGCTGTCAGATTTCCTGCTGGTTTCATGTTTTCCTGCTGTCTTACCTGATGAGGATAAATGCATACCCATTTTGATTCCTTGAGATGGCTTTGTACTTGTGTGTCCTTTTGAGACTGAAGGCTTTATGAGCTGCTTTCAGAAGCTGACAGTGAGAGGAATGTTTTCCTCCTTCGGAGAGATAAAGCAGAAGAGTATCTTACCATTTCCCAAGGACCCATCTGCCCCCTAGGCTCCCTTCATAGGATTTCTGCTAGTTGGCCCATTTACACATTGAACTGGCCCGTATTGACTGAAAGCTCCTTGGATTAATCTTAGAAGAGACAGCTGGGATTTTTATATAGCAGAAAATCAGGGCTTATCCTGGAACCTGGCTCAACCCTCATCCTCCAGTTAATTTGGCATCTGGTCTTCACGTGTGCTGTTTTGTTCATTCATTTAAGAGGTGGCATGGTAATATGGAAACACCGCTTGGTGGGAAGTTGGAGTACCTGGAATCGAAACCTGGCTCTGCCACTTTCTAACTAGGTGACCCTGGACACGATTTCTCATCTATAAAATGAAGTGGGTCAGACTAAATGGTCTCTAAGGCCCCTTAGAAATTTATTAGTTCTCTACTGGTTCCTAAGTGCCCACTATATGCCAGGCACTGTGCTAGGCACTGGGAGAGATCCAAAGATAATTACATTTATAGATTGTAGGCTCTATAAATGATGACAGATGAGTCTACTTCACTAACTTATCAACAGATGTCTTGGAAGACATGTTAGAACAGCATTGCTGCAGGCATGTGCAAGACTGCTTTCCTTCATTTCAGAAACAGGGAGTTGACTGACCCACCAGGCAGCATTTTCATAATACCTGCCTCTCTCCTTCCTTTCCTGACAGCAAACCTAAGAGGAATATTATTTTACTTACAAGGTAGTGCATAGAAGGTGGGGGGGGGGAGTGGGGGAAACAGATGGACGGTGTGTGCAAGAAAACAGTATGATTGTAGAATTCCTTTTGTGCTTCTAGGTAAACATTGCTATCACAAAGAGGTAGAAGTGAATTGCATAAAGTGGACTCCTTGATTTTTACATCCATGGAAGATTAATCAGCCTACCAGAATTATTTTGGAGGAATTCCTTTTTCAGCAATGTCTCCTCATTATGGGAACATTCAACCTAATGGAGTTTTCAAAGAAGGATTATAGGATCTGGAATTGAAAGGACCTTAGAGGTCCTGTCAGCCATACCCTCCATTTTGCAGATGGGGAAACTGATGCCCAGAGAGGAGAAATGACTTTTACAAAGTCCCACAGCTCATAAGTGGCAAATCTAGGATTTGACCCCAAGTCTACTGCCTCTGACTCTTAAGACTCTTTCTGCTTAGGCCACTGTAAAAATTAAGATATCCTCATTTCATTCCCTTATCCAAGGTAACTAGCCCCAGACTCACAGCTGATCCTTTGTGCCATGGTTTCTTGAAGCTAATTGGTGAGGAGTTCATCTTGTTTTGTGACATTTTTCTGTTTCTAATGGGACTTGAAAGTAGCTTGCATTTTAGTCTCCCTCATCTCTTGTTTGAACATGCACGGACAGAACTGAATGATAGGTTAAGGGGAAAAAAATGTAACTTTCCTTTCAGACTTGGATTTGAACTACTTTTTTTCGTTATCTGATTTCCATGGCTTTGTCATAAGAGTGCTTTTGCTAAACACTTCCATTTTCATTCTGCTTTGAGACATTGTATTTTCTTCCCCCAAATAGGGTGTTTTATTCCTAAATGGCTACCTCAGTCCTGTTCTCTTCTCTGCCTCGCCAATCAACCTTCCTCCACAGAGGAAGGAAAGGGTATTCATTAAACTCCCCCTGACCCAGCCATTGGTAATACTTAATGCACCGAACACTTAATACACTGAATGAAAAGAAAATGGTTTTCAGCCTTCCAAGGAAGCATAAATAAAGTTATCTGAAAAGTGATTCTAAAGTACATGGCAAAATTATGAAAATATCTTTTTCTTGGCTACTGCTGCATAGCCATTAAAGCAACCTCAAAATAACCAAAGTTTCTGTTTTCTTAAACTTATAGTAGAGAGCAAATGACCTCACGGCTTTGGACCTTGATCCACACCCCATGACCCCACCCCCAGCAACAATCACAGATCTGCAAAAGCTGGGCCTATGGGACACTAAGTCACAATAGAATAGAAGAGCTGAGAAGCTGAACGTTTTATTCACAGCTTACTAAGGAAGAAATTCTAATAAATTACAATGTAGTAAGAGGTTATGATCACTCTTTCCAAAGAACCTGCCATAAAAAGATCATGAGCCTTTGGGTCACAATTCACAGAGGTGGCATGGTGGTTTAGACTATGGGTGATAAGTAAATAATACCTTTTTATGGAAGAAGATGGGGAGACACTGTGTAAATATTGGAATTTTACCTCAACACCATTGATGCTGCAGGGAAAATCCACCAGTATTGGAATTGTATTCCATTTTCCAACAACTTATTCAATGGTAGGATTTCTTAAAGCATCAGACCATGTTCTTGCTTACTTCACCAGTCCTGGCATCCTTCTCTCCCCTCTAGCTCAGCCATCTCCTCTTGCTACAGCCGGGTATACCAGAGTCTAGCCAATCTCATTCGCTGGTCAGATCAAGTGATGCTGGAAGGTGTGAACTCAGAAGATAAAGAGATGGTCACAACTGTGAGAGAAGTCATCAAAGCTGTTTTGGATGGAGTAAAGGTACTGTGCTTCAGATGTCATACTCATATTCTGTGGTGGGACATGCAAGAACAGGAAATAACCATATTTGTGCATAAGTCTCTTGATTAGCAGATACTCTTAGGGGCACCTAAAATATAAAGGACTTATTTGTGACATTAATACATTTTAATCTCTTCTATCAGTTGGGGCTTAATGAGCTGTCCTATCTGGTTATTTACTTAATTCTCTTAGGAGAGGTATATCTAGCGACTTTAACAATGCACATTTCTTCATCCTGGCAGTTTAGGAACTTGCCAGAAGCAACCCACCTTCACTGAGTATTGTATTAAATTTGCAGTGAACTTTCACACTGCATGTCTGACAGGGCATGTTTTGTTACCTGAACGAAATCTGATGGGAGGTGTTCTGAGAAACAGCACATCAACTGTCACCTCTTCGTTTTCCAGAAAGTGCTTTTTGTCACTTTTTGGTAGGAAAAACTAGACTCATTCCCCTGCAGGAGCATTGCCTTTAAGCCTTCTGCTTAATCTTTCCTTTGAGCTCTTAACTAGTGTGGAAACCTACTTCAGTTTTGAATTCTTTTTCAAATGGTTAGCCCCATTGTCAGTTTCCTGAAAGATGCATCAACATAACTCCCTTCCCCAGTAGCTTCAGAGGGAAAAACCATAACCCAGGAATGCAAGTTACAGAGAGGCAATTTCTCCCTCAGTATGAGGAAGGCCTTTCTAACAATTGAGCTGTCCAGCAGTGGAGCAGGATACATTATGAGCTCTTCATAATTGGGATTGTTCAAACAGAGACTGAGTGGCAGTTTATCAGGGATGCTATGGGAAGAATTCCTGCATTTGGGAGGAGGGAGGAGGTTGGACCAGACATCCTCTAAGGTGCATTCCAGCTCTTAGCACTGTGTCCTAAGGTCCCTTCTGGCTCTACCATTCTATGTCCTAAGGTCCCTTCTAGCTCTACCATTCGGTGTCCCAAGGTCCCTTCTAGCGCTACCATTCGGTGTCCTAAGGTCCCTTCTGGCTCTACCATTCGGTGTCCTAAGGTCCCTTCTAGCTCTACTATTCTGTGTCCTAAGGCCCCCCTCCCAGTTCTGATGTTCTGTGTTCAAGGTGCCTTTCAGCTCTTGACATTGTAGGTTCTCAGATCTCTTCTAGTTCTGACATTCTATGTTCTAAAACCTCTTCCAGCCCTAATAGATGTTGTTTTAAAGTCTGTCCCAGCACAAATGTTCAATGCCATGAGGTCCCTTGCTTTTTTAGCAACTCCCAAGTAACCTTCTTTCTAAAAAGAGACACCACTGAGGTGTCATGTTTGAGGGGTACACAGCTATTGAACTCATCTTTGGAGCAATGTATCTGTCTCATTCTTATCCCAAAGGGTGGTTTAAAATAGGCTTTAGCCATTAGCTCTTCTGAGTCTTCATCTAGAAATGCTCTTACTTAGAGGTCTTTTTTTTTAAGGCAATTGAGGTTAAGTGACTTGCCCAGGGTCACACAGCTAGTAAGTGTCAAGTGTTTGGTCTGAGGCCAGATTTGAACTCAGGTACTCCTGACTTCGGGGCTGGTGCTGTATCTGCTGCACCACCTAGCTGCCCCTTTAAAGGTCTTTTTTAGGCCAGATTTTCAGTACTTTTGACCAAAGGCCATTGCAAAAATCAAATAAAAAGTAATTTTCAAGAAGTTACCAAGCTCAGAAAGGATGTTAGACTGAGTTTCTGAGCATGAAAACTTGTTATGTTCCTGACCTGATTTTCCACATAGAGTCATGAACACTCAAACACTGTTGTCTCACTTATCTACTCTGTCTAAAGTTGTCCTAGCTGTGACTTATGAAGTAGCCAGTACAAAAAGAGACATACTTTTGTCAAAGTTGTTCTCAGTTGACAAGCATTTAAGTGCCCACTGTTTACCATGCACAGTGTGAAGTGCTAGGGATATAAAGACAAGGCAGAAGGTCCCTGCTTTCAAGGAGCTTGCATTCTAATGAAGAATACAGCGTGTGTATATGTGTGTGTGTGTGTGTGTGTGTGTAGATAGATACATAGATAGTTAATTAGTTCTATACAAAACACATACAAGGCAAATACAGTATAACCTTGGAGGAGGAAGCATAACACCAGGAAAGACCTCATGCAAAAGGCAGTGCTTAAGGTGAGTCTTGAATGAAATCAGGGATTCCAAGAAATAGAGGTGAGGAGAGAGCATTCCAGGCCTGGGCGACAATGAGTGCAAAGCCTGGAGATGGGAGACAGAGTGTCGTGTGTGAGGAACCGCAAGAAGTTACATGCTGCTACACCCTGTGGAGTGCACAGAGGGGCGGGCATCAAGCCAGGCCCAGGCTGTCACAAGCTTTAAATGTCAAACAAAGGATTTTCCATTTGATTCCAGAAGTCATAGGGAATCAATGGAGTTGATTAACTCAGTGTTATGATATGCACTTTAGGAAAATCACTTTAGCAGTTGCATAGAGCAGTGGGGTCATTTTATACATAGAAGAGGGTGTGCACATCTTAGAATACATAGAAGAAAGTAAAAGTAAAATCCCCAGTTCAAGACATCTACAAATAAAATTGGGGGTAGGGGTCAGTGAGGAAGTATGCAGGATTGGCCTCCCACTGTTACAGTAATTGAGGTTAGAAAGTTGTTAAGTTTCTTAGTCATAGAGAGATGTCAGGTCCTATTTCCAGGAGTGCTTGAGTCTGAAGAAAAGCCCTGAAGGATTGTTTGCCTTACTCTGGAGACCATCTGGCTTCTAGCCTCCCCTGTTGACCTGTTTAGGCCAGGACACCTTATAAGCTAATGTCTTGGTACTGTAAAGGAACTGTGCTCAGCCTGGGGTAAAGGGGGAGGGGAGACCAGTAGCACTGAATACAGAAATGAAGTATGGTTATGAGGATGTAGTCGTCACAGTTGGAGGAGAAGCACTGGCATGTTCTTTTGAACTGACTCACCACCTTTGAAGTAACTCATTCAGTTGTTAAATGTGATCTGTTTTTTACAGGATAACAAAAAATGAGTAATGTAATTTATCATCACATATTTCCTCTTCTGTCCCCCCCCAAAAAAAACCCCAACCAAACAAAAAACTCTACACCTGTAAATAGATAAATTATTTTCTAAATTGGTGCCTTCCTAGAAATTATGACGATAGATCTTGTTAGTGTCATGCCTCATCTCATGATTACTTAGATGAATGTAACCATATTCCTGAAAAAGTTGTGTATAGATCGAATCGTATTTAAAATGCACTAAGAAGGTTCCTTAAAGGAAATTCCTGGAGGATCTTTTTGTAAAGCAAAATGATCACCCCCTAATTTGTCTCAACTGCGAATTCAGATTTTCATGCATGGAATGTGAGGTATGCCCATGCTCCATTTTTTTAAACCCTTATAATATCCCACCTGATGTTTTGAGAATTAATAATTTCCCTTTAGTAAACCTGCTTAACTAGAGCATGAGATAGAATTTTTTTTTTAACTCATCAAGGAAAAAGAAGGATGTTTGGGTACAGAACTATCACATCTGCTCTAACCATTGTAAGGAATAGCAGTTTTCCTTTTTATTTGACCCAAATGTGTTCTTTCTCAGATCCATCCTATTACTCTTGGTTATTAGATTGCCTGTTCTAGGCCAAGAAATCTTTTTATATCGCCAGGTATTGGTAGATTATTAAGTTTTTCCAGTAATTCACAGTTAACTTTAGTTCCTTTGGCTTCTCAAATCACATCAAATTTCAAGATAGATGGGACCTCAGAGCAGTTTAATCTGACTCCTGTCTCCAAGGTCAGGTTTGATTTAATAGAGGAGGAAACTGAAGCAGGTTACCCCCCTCTTTACCTTTAATTTTTGGGTTTGAAATTTCTTGCAGCTGCATGTGGTTTTTTTTTTGTTTTCTGATGCAAAGAGTATCCTGGTTTTAAAATAGTATTCCAAGTATAATTGCTGATGTTAATTCAGACATTTCCCAGCACCATTAGTCTTCTATCCTCATTGTCCTTCCTTCTCATTTCACTTTGGAAGAATTTGAGCTTGCTTCTGGCTGCCTTGTTTCTAGCCTTTTTAAGGAATGCCAATTTGTATCTAGAAGTGAAACTCCTAAGAGCTATTCTAATGATATTACTCAATCAGACAAAAATACACTTCTCTATTTTGAATGTTTGTTACTCAGTTCCTGCGTGAGGAAGAAGCTTTTGCTCTTTGTTTATCAGCTTTTTTAAAAACCTTGGGCTGTGGGCAGGATAGAAAAATCCCCTGTTGTCACCATTATAACATTGCATTTGTGTCAAAAAGTCCTGTGAAATTTATTAAGCAGCATCGTTTAAGGGAAGCATTTAAGTTGTGTAATCACTGCTCTGGCCAGTATATTCCAGGGATTCACAGAACCTCCTCAGTTAAGGCCAAAGAGGTATGAGTAACCATATCTCTCAAGAATTGATCTTTAGATGAAAGGACCGTGACATGAGCTGGTGTGAAGTTGATTTTACAGTACCCTGGCCTCAGGCCCTTGAGGGCCAGACCAACTCCCGTGTGACTTAAGTAGGCAAACAGGAAGGGAAAGAAAAAGATGGAACAGATATAGGCGACCTCCAGCAATGCCTTGTGTCTATCGAGTAAAGTAGGTTTCACCTTCCAGGTAGACCTTTGGAGATGGGTATTGAAATGGGGGCTACTACTGTGAAGTTGTGTGGAATACGCGCTTATTGGTGAATTGTGCCCCATTGGCCCTGCCAGTGAATAACCTGGCTGAGAGTGCTGTCATCAGTTGGATATTTACAACATTCTGTCTTCATTCGTCTTTGCTAGATGCATTCCCCTCTTGTCGCCAAGGAGAGAATAAAGACATTTATAAAATGGTTTACCTTCAGCAACTTGAAATCCTCCCATCATTTCCATCGTTTTTTTGTGGATAAAATGAACAGAGAGAAGGAATGAAAGCTCAGGGCTAGTCTAGAAAGAGCATTAAATATACCTTCAGATCCCCTTTTGGACTTTTACACAAAAGCCAGCCTAGTCCAGTGGGAAAGCCACCCTGGTCTTTGGGTCAGAAGCCCTAAGCTTGAGCTCTGGTTCTGGTTCCAACTAGATGACCATGGTAAAGTCACATAAAAGCTGAGTCACCATGTCCTCATCTGAGGTAAAAGAAGGACAATTGTACTTTTGCACTGCCTACCTCACAGAGCTGTTGTTGAGAAAAGTACTTTGTAATCCTTTAAGAGTTACAGAGATGTGAGCATAGACCTAAATGCTGCAGCATTTGTTTTTGGTCTAAACCAGTGATTTAATGGATGCAAGGAATTCCTACCAGTACAGATGGAACTTTTTTTTAAAGCTATTTAGGTAGTCTTAAGGGGCTTATCTGGAGCAATGATTTTCAAAATGTGGTCCAAGCCTCTCAGGGGATCCCAAAGTCCAGACTGTTTTCATAATAATACTGAGATATTATTTGTCTACTGAAATACTCCTCCCTTTTCCAACTACGTATCTGTTTGAGTCTGGATCATTGTAATTTACTTCAACCAAAACAATGTATCGCAGCAAATTTGAGCAGATATGAGAAGCCAGTAGTCTTTATTAGTCTGGACAGCGAAGAGACTTGTAAAAATATGTAAAACAGTGCCACTGTTCTTACTAAGTTTTTTATTTTGGAAAATATAGTTGTTTTTCATTAAAAATACATTATTATTTATATTCATATAAAATGGGGTTTTTATTTTAAATTAATTTTTTTTAAATTTGATCAGTTTTTATTTTAAATGTGGTAAATATCAGTAGATGTAACCCAGACAGACAAAAGCTGTTTGAGGTCCTCGGTAATTTTTAAGAGTGGTAAGGAATCCTGAGATAAAAAGTTTGAAAACCACTCATCTGGGACATGGAAAGGGTCACAAATACATTATGTTTCTGAGACAAAGACTTGAACCCAAATCTTCCATCCTCTAAGATCAGCTTTTCATCCTCTTCACAATTCTGCCTCTCTGTGTAATCTTTAGGAAGAGCAGTCTTTTAATATTCACCCCTATTTCAGTGATGAAGTCAGCGTTTGAATGTTATATATCAGGCAGCTAATATTTGAGGTTAAATTAGATCAAAGATGAAAAAACAAGGCGATGGCACAGAAGTTACAGAGCATACTCTGTCAAGTTGCCAGCAAATCCTCAGAAAATACATTTTTGCTTCATGCTTAAAATGTCATTTACTTTCATTCCTTTTGCTGCATGTACGATGTGGTATCATCAGTCATTTGAGCTCTCAAAGTGTCTGATCATGCTTCCTTAAAAAAACATGAAAGCAGCCTCAGTTTTAGTGTCCGTCACCAGCTTTTATAGCTTGCTCTGAAGGAGGAAGCAGCAAAAAGTGAAGGAAAAAACCTTGTGAAGTGCCCCAGGAACACAGATGTTAAGTGTCTTCGTAGGCACATTACTATTACAGAGCATAAGACCTGAGCTGAAAGGGACCTCAGATGCTATCTAACCTAAAGAAGATATCCCTTTTAGAGTATCTCTGGCAAGTAGTCATCTGGTCTTCACTTAAATATCACAGGCAAAGAGAAACCAACTACCTCTCGAAGCAGCCCATTCCACTTTGGGATAGTGCTGATTGTTAGGGTGTTTTTGCTGACTTTTCCAGTGGAACTCTGTCTTCCTGTGGTTTCCATCAGGTACTTTAAATCATTCCTCCTGACCAGCAAACTCGCTCCCCCTACTAGAACAATCCTGTTCCCTCTTCTTCAGGTTAGCCCTTCAAACATTTGAAGATAGCGGCCGTGCTTCCCCCATTAGTTAAACTTCCCCAACTCCTCAAGTCAATCTTCTCTTCCAGTGACATGGTCTTCAGTGCCCTCCCATCCTGGTCACTCTCTTCTTGAGTGTAGGCCTGGTGACTTGAATCATTGAGGAAAACTAGGTGTGTTCTCTTAGCTTATCTAGTCCATCTAGTGCCCTCATCTTACAGATGAGGAAAAGTGAGGACTGGAGGGGTTAAGATGACTTTCCTGAGGTCATAGCATTGAGAGCCAAGACTTGAACCCAGGTGTCACTCTCTCCTCAATGCAGTTACCTGTGGGATTATCTTTTATAGCATCCTATGGTTATTCAGATTGACCAGTAAAAATATAATCTGGACATATATTGGACTCTGAACTCTAACCAGGTCAGTTACTGTTAGGAACACTAGGAATGCATGTTAAAGGGGGCAAAGTTAACCTCATCATTGCAGAGCCAGCTCTATAGAAATTTAACAAACTCTTCTTGTACCCACATGTAAAGCAAAAGCTTGAGCAAACAGTCATGCCCCCAAGGTCAGTCAACTCCAGCTGTACCAGCCTGACAAAAGGAGCTAATTCTGAAAGAACTGTACTTGGCCTTGTTAATGCTTATGCATCTAGTGGAGCAAAAATGGTCAACAGCCCTCCCCAGAGCTCTGCTGAAACCCTGTTACCACTGGCTGCAGTCTTGAAAGGCCATGTCAAATGTGATCGGGGTGTTAACATAGAGGCCTCACTGGCCACAGTGATCCCTAAGACATCCTTTCATTCAGCAGAGAAAATACAAGCAGAACTCTACGTGTCTGGTCTCTTTAAGCATGGAAGTTACTCATAGGGAAAAGAGCTCCAGTTTTTGTTTTGTTATGTTTGTAGACCTTCAGTCCCAGGCTAGAGAAAGGGTGAATGGAAGATTTGCAACCATGCAGCAAGCACCATCTTAGAAGTCAGAAGAAAGGTTTGCACATATGTGCCTGACTTTCTTTGGTTCTTCTTCCATCCCTCCAGAAATAGAATTCACAGCTGTTTGTGTCTCTCTGAGGGAGACTGGCTGTGTAATGATGATCACTCTCATTTCTAAAAGAACCGTAACCATCCCTGGAGGACCAGGCCTTTGCCTTAGGTTGCTGATATGGGATGGAGGAGAGGGACCTCCCAATGTTAGCCACATTTTATCCTGTCCCTCTGACCCGCTTGGGGAGAGGGTGGCTTTCCCTTCAACCCTTGCTGGGGCAGGGGTCATGCTATCCTCTCTCGTGGTGCAGTTGTACCTCTGGTTAGACTATCCTCTGCTTGCCCCAAATGAAAATATTCCTAGTTAGAGCTCTGATTTCTAATGAAGTTTTGAGGCATTCTTTACTCTCTGAATAGATGTGAATAGGCACCCAGCGTTTCATTGCTCCCCTTCACCTTGCATGTGATTCAAAAGGCTTTCCTATGCATTTTCTGGCCCAAAAACTTGATTAGGACTTGTACAATAACCTCAGCATCGTATCCTGTTGATACAGAGCATCAAATACTCTGATTTGATAGTTCCATTTTGCCGCAGGAGTGAACAGAATTCATTTTTGTTGATCTTGTAACGGCTTAATTAGCTGGCTGGCCTTTGTAGCTATAGAATGTTCCCTTTCTCCTCAGGTGGCATTGTGGGGAAATGAGCCTTTCTTATTTTGATGGCTGTTGGGCCTGCATGTAGAGTGGGATTATTGTATTCTTACCTCCTCTTCTGCTGCTTTAGCTAGAAGAGCTAGATAGGTAGTTGCCTTTAAGTGTTTATAAAACTTTAATAATTCCTAGGGAAATAGTAACGTTCACTTCTTCCCCTTTCTCCTGCCAGTGCCTCCCCTTCTAGAATGGGAGAGTAGCAACTCCAAATGCCTCTGTAGTGAAGCCTCATTCTAGAGAATCTGATGGCACGTGCTCTCCTTGCGTGCTCTATGCTTTTGTAATTGAGATTAATTTTGTAGCTCTTCACCTAGGGGCCAGCCTGCCACTCCATCTTCCTTTGGTCCACGGAAAGGATTTTGTTGCCATCTTCTTTGCAAATTTAGGAGTGAAAAGTTAGTAAGAAATAAGATTAGACTCCATACTCAGAAACTAAAGTGCTACTCCCTTCCCCCCCACTTTTCTGTTAAGATTCCAAAGTGCTGTGGCTCTTGTTGTTTTGTTAATGTCTTTCACCCACGATCCATTCTGGCTCTATAAATGTTTCTAAAATTGGGGTTTTTTTTCCTAGATAGATGTAAGACCAGAGGTTGTCAAAACAATCTCCTCTTTCCCTTCCAGCATATGTGTGTGTACGTGTACACACACACACACACACACACACACACACACGCACACACACACACACAGAAGTTCTGGAGTCATAGGGTCCGAGTTCAGCTCCTACCTGACTGGGGCTCAGCTGTAAATAAAGGGGTCAGGCTAGATAGCCTGTGGAGTCCCAGCCACTTTTCAATCTATGATCCCTATAGAAATGTGATTTATTATTATTTTACAATGTGACCCACTTCCTCTCTTTTCCCTGCTCAGAAACGCCAACTACCAGCTCATAGCATGAACACATGCAAACACAGACATCGTAATCTCGAGACTTTAGGGAGCTAAAGGCTAGCTCCACCCTACAAAAAGACGAAGCATCCCTGCTTCAAAAGGAGTTTATTGTTCACTACATCATGTTCATCTTCCTCACTTTTAGAAACAATAGACTGTTTCTTCTGAGAAGCAGAAACCTTTGTGCTTGGGAAATTTTTTGGCATGAAACATGACATGGGTATTTTTGGAGGGGAGATTTTGGAAGGAAGTTCAAGTAGGTACCTATGGTAATTTCTTCATGGTGTCATGTGGTTATTTGCATTTTGGAAAGCTGAGGACTACAACCTACAAAAGACATTCAAGTAGAAAGAGAGGACCCCAAATCCTTAGCCTTACAGGGAAGGTTGGTTGGATGATAATGGAGATGAGAGGAGAGTTTCCCTTCATTGACGCCTGCCTCATGACTTTTCTGTTTTGGATTTAGGAGCTTGTCAGACTCACGATAGAGAAGCAGGAGCATCCATCTCCCACGAGTCCAGTTAAGCCCAGCTCACCAGCCTGCAAGCCTGACAGGTAAGCTTCTCAGCCTTACTCTTAGAATGGGAACTCCATAGCCAAGAGAGAAATGGTAGCCAAATCTGGTCATGCTGTTGAACATGAAGTGGCTTACTTCTGATTGCATGACCTCTTTTTTTTTTTTTGGCTAGGCAGTGAGGTTAAGTGACTTGCCCAGGGTCACACAGCTAGTGAGTGTTATGTGCCTGAGTCTGCATTTGAACTCAGGTCCTCCAGACTCCAGGGCCGGTGCCCTATCCACTGCACCACCTAGCTGCCCCTGCATGACCTCTTTTAATCTTACAATCCTAGATCTGTAAGAGGTAGCTCAAGATAGTGGAAAGAGCAGAGGACATGGAACCCAAGCACCTTGGTTTGAATCCCAGCTTCACTAGCTGTACGAACCTATCCAGTCTCTTCCCCGACTCCCTCAGGCTTTTTCTTTATGTAGAAAATAGGAAATGGTACTCACACTATCAATGTCACAGGATTATGATGAGGAATGCCCTTTGTAAACTTTTATGTGAGATAAGCATAGTGTCTGTTTTTAATGTCATCAGTCTAGAAACATACTACCCAAAAGAGGATACAAAAAGAGTTTTGAGTTGTGCCTGGCCGTGAGTGTTTAGGAAGAGGCCTTTACAAATTCATTGTCTGTGGGGCAGCTAGGTGGCACAGTGGATAGATCACCGGCCCTGGAGTCAGGAGGACCTGAGTTCAAGTCCAGCCTCAGACAAATGATATTTACTAGCTGTGTGACCCTGGGCAAGTCACTTGATCCCAATTGCCTTGTGAAAAAAAATTCATTATCTGACTGCTTTGTTTGACAAACATTTTTTGAGCTTTGTATGACCAACATCTTTTTTTTTAAAAATCTGACGGCTTTGTAGGTGTGTTTTTTTGGTCTGGGGCTTTTTGTTTTTGTTTTTTGAGGGAGGTAGCAAGGAAATTGCATCACATTGTTCATTATACCAGAACATTTGGCTACATTATGGAAAAGTTAAGCACTTTACTCAGTTGTATATTATAGGCCAACGTTTGACAGCTTTTACTCATAAAATTTTAGAACCCATAGAAGCTGAAAAACTAGTTGATGTTGTTCACTAATTTTACAGACAACGAAACTGAGGCCTTTTTATAGAGGGGTGACAGGGCTGGAACTCCACCTTCTCTCCTCACCCTTAGATCCATGTTCTTCTTACTGTGCTATGTGGCCTCTCCCGAAAGACTCTAATAGTTTGCCATTCCCTAGGCACTTCTCTGTCTTTTCCTCTTAGTGCATATTCATTCTTAGTGCATATACATTTGTAGGAGCATAGATTCAGAGTTGAAGGGTGACCTCGGGTTTTCTAGTTCAACAGCCTCATTTTATAGATGAGGACGCTGAGGCCCGGACAGGCGGAATGCCTCACACATGTAGGACGTGGCAGAACCAGGCCTGGAGCCCAGATCCTCATACAGTACATCTGAAATGTTTTGCCCTGTGACACTCTGAAATTAACTCTACTACGAGGGACTCCGTCCACCTCGGTTCTCAGTAACCCCCATCTCTCCTTTAAATCCCACAGCCAACCTGAGCTCCCATTGACTGACCGAGAAATGGAGATTCTCAACAAGACAACTGGCATGTCCCAGTCAACGGAGCTGCTGCTTCCTGATTCCACGGATGAAGAGGTTGCTCCTCCCAAGCCCCCCCTCCCTGGCATCCGCGTGGTGGATAATAGGTAACATGACCTTCATCAGCTTCCTGTTTCCAAGTTCTTCTCCAGTCTTCACCTGCTGCCTTCAGTGCACCGATGGCTGGAAAACCTGAGGGATGAGGGCAATGCGGCTTAGTGAAGAATTTAGATTTTGGTTGGGTTCCTGACTACTTAAAAGTTGGGCCTCGTGATTTTCAAATGAAACATTCATCAGACGTTTTCTCCACCTCTTCATCTCAGCCATGTGAAAGCCAAGGCACTTGATTCTGAGTGAAGAAGAGTCCACTGATTTGGGGTTTCTTACTATTTATAGGGCTTCATCTGGCAGAAGTGAGAGTCACAGTTAGGTGTGAAGGCTGGATTGTTAAGTTTTGACTTCACAGTGTGGCTGATTTATCCAGACTTTGGCAGGGTCTTTATTATTGGGTTCTGCTGTCCCTGGGAAAGTTTTCAAGCCTGACTCTGCTGCATCTGGACACGTTATTTGGGGAAGAGTTTTTGGGGCCAACTAGCTTATGTCAGAGAAAGGGGATATTCTTGTGAGTGTCTTTGACTAAATTGGGAAAGGAGACTTTCTCTTTCTTCTTGCTGGGGTCTCTTAAGCGGCATCTTCTTTTGTCTTGCAGTCCTCCACCAGCATTACCACCCAAAAAGCGGCAGTCAGCACCATCCCCTACCAGAGTGGCCGTGGTAGCACCCATGAGCCGGGCCACCAGTGGCTCCAGTTTACCTGTTGGAATCAATAGACAGGTAATAGTGTCACAGCTATGAAAAGCAGGAGATGGGATTAGCTTTTGGCCTTTGGTCATCTGCAAGCTGAAAGCAGTACTGTGGTAGTTATTTTCTGATCTTGGGAATGGCCTATGGGCATCTAAAAAGACCTTAACTGGAGAAACTTCGTAGGATCCTAAATTTGGAACCGGAAGGCACCTACAAGATAATCTAATCCAGCTCTACCACCCCCCATAATTGTATAAATGGGAAAAAAAAAGGAACAGAGAAATTAAGTAATTTGGCCAAGGTCACACAGGCAGTGACAGAGCCAGGATTTAACCAAGGCTTCTAGACATAACTGTTTTCTAAGGCTTATTTCTGCCTCTCCACTTTCTTCTAAAAAGATTTTTTTTTAGATTGACTTTGGAGTAGGGATTCTTGACCGAGAGCTCACGAAAAGATTTCAGTGGGTCTAGAGGCAGTTAGGCACGGTGTGCCAGAGTGCCAGGCCTGGAGTCAGGAAGACTCCTCTTCCTGGGTTCAAAATCTGGCCTTAGTCACTAGCTGTGTGACCCTGGGCAAGTCACGTGGCCCTGTTTGCCTCAGTTTCCTCATCTGTAAAATGAGCTGGAGAAGAAAATGGCAAACTACTCCAGTATCTTTGCCAAGAAAACCCCAAATGAGGTATCAAAGAGTCGGGCACAACTGAAAAGACTGAGCAACAAATGAATTTTTAAATACTTTTAAATCTTTGTTTCAGTATAGTTGGTTTCCTTTGCAATCCTATGAATTTCATCTTATACATTCAAAAACATTGTTTTAGGGGCAGCTAGGTGGCACAGTGGATAGAGCATCAGCCCTGAAGTCAGGAGGACCTGAGTTCAAATCCAGCCTCAGACCAAACACTTGACACTTACTAGCTGTGTGACCCTGGGCAAGTCACTTAACCCCAATTGCCTAAAAGCAAAAAACAAAAACAAAAAAACATCGTTTTAAAAAAGGGTTCATAGGCTTCACCAGACTGCCAAAGGAGAGGGTCTATGACACAAAACAGGTGAAGAACTTCCTGGTTTAGAATCATGGCATTTCCATGGAATTCTATGGAAGGGAGCCCCAGAGGTTACCTGATCTTCCCCTTCCCTTGGGCAAGACTTTGTGTAATGAATCAAAGGAGCACAGTGTAGTAGAAAGAACCCCAGACTTGGAGGTCGGGGACCTGGGTTCAAATACAGGTTCTACCTGCTTTGCACTTTCTTGGAAGAATCACTTTGTTTCTGAGCTTATGGTCCCTTGTTTCTGAAATGGGGATAATTCTCATATTACCCCACTGTGGTAGGGAGTGGGGGGAAAGTATGTTGAAAATGCTACATTAATTTTAAAGCACTGTGTAAGTGGTAGATATTATTATAGTCACTTAAATGTTTATAGGAGCTGTGATTTTTCTTGGTGTGGGTATTCCTTCCTTTCTAAAGCTTACCAGGGTTTTTGAGCATCACTGTGTCTAAAAATTTCCTCACCCAACAGCCAAGCTAGTGGTGAGCCTCTCCACGCTTAGCTTCAGTCACAGGCCCATAGTCAGTCGCTGTACCCATATTAGAAGGCCTTTCAACTTGGGGGAGGGGGCTGGACCTGCCAGTCAACCAGCAAGCATTTATGCTGCGTCCGCTACGTTCCATGCACCAGTAATACAAAGACAAAATGTGTTTCTTTGGCATAGCCTTCAGGGACTCAGGATCCCTACCATGGCACAGTGCAGCACTAAGGCAGTTCGTTAGTTGGGGAGCTCTTGTCATATAATTCTGAAAACCTTCCTCCTATAACCTGTTATTGTTCCTCTTTGTAAGGGGAGGAGGAGGGAAGGGACATCATAGCTAGATTGCTCTCAGTAACTTTCCCCTCCCTCTCTATGAGTTCTCCTACCTTTCCCCTTTCTTATCAACTAGTGCTATTTCTCAAGAGTGATTTGAATTTGTCCTCCTTTTTCACACAAGGACTTTGATGTGGACTGTTATGCACAGAGGAGGCTGTCCGGAGGCAGCCACTCCTATGGCGGGGAGTCTCCTCGCCTCTCCCCATGCAGCAGCATTGGTAAGCTGAGCAAGTCCGATGAGCAGCTGTCCTCCTTGGACCGGGACAGTGGGCAGTGCTCCAGGAATACAAGCTGTGAAACACTAGGTGAGTCCGAGCTTGTGTTAAGCTGGCTCTAACAAGTCTGTTGTACAGCTACTAAAGCCAGAAACCTCAGAGTATGTCATTTCTCCTTTGGCAACTTTCCACTGTCACTATTGGTTTCTACACCTATAGTATAACCCCCTTATATAATAAGACTGCTGAAAATTAACAGCCCTATTCATTTAGGCCTCTTTCCTCCCACTTCTACTCATGGACCTGAGAATTCTGCCCCTCCTTAGATTTTTTTGCTTCACTCTTCATGTACAGCAAAGAAATTCCATAGAATTATTAGACTTATTGTTGGAATGGACCTTAGAGCCCATCAGGTCCCTTTTCCTTGTTTTATAGATCAGAAACTGAGGCCCAAAGAGCTTAAGTGAGTTGCCCAGGATCACATAACTAGTATGTATCTGAAGCAGGATTCAGGTTAGGGTCTTCCTGACTCAAATCCAGCATTCTATCCATCATGCCTTGTAGCCTCTCAATTTCACTCTCTTGAGCAGGATTTTATGGAAGCAGAAATTAGACTGACACTATGCAGGGTGTCCCCAAAGTCTTAGAGAAATTTTAAGCTATAATAGCTATTTAACATTTATTTGTTGTTTATGTATTTATGTAATTGTTATTCTTATGTTTATTTATCTAAATACTTACTAGTTCTTAAAACTTAAAATTGCTCTAAGACTTCAGGGTTGCCCTGTATATCTCTGTACTTCCTTCATTCCACAAACTCTGCCAATATATTGCTAACAGACCAGGACTACATGTAGCACAGCAGCCATGAACAACATCATGATCGTGTTTATTTTTTGTCCAGACCACAACTAATGAACAAGAATGTAGGAAGCACCTACCTTGTGCTGCTCAAGGAACAAAACATGGCTCCTGTTCTGGAGGAGTTTGTGATCTAGTACAGGAGATAAGATAGATCTGCTTCCACTTAGAATGTGACAAGTGCGTCATATTCTAAGCACAGTTCTACTCTGAGATCAGCAGCCTCTTTAGAAAGAAGTGGTTCCTAAAGTGGATGACATTTGACCTTGGCCTTGAAGGAAGAGTAGGATCTCCTGAAACAAGAAGGGGATAAGGAAGTGGTGTTGTCCAGGTACAGAACAGGAAATCTTGGGTTTTTTGGGGAATAGGGAAAGCAGGATGGCATAAGCTGTACTTTGCCTTTTTCCCCTCTGCATTAAATTATTCTTGTTGAAGTCTGTGAATATGCCTGCAGGATCTTCCTAATGGTCAGGCTTTATCATCTGCTAATATAAGTGCATCATGTGTTTTACTTCTAAAACTGTAGCCCATTTTCAAATCCAACCCATTTCTTTTAAAATCTGCTTTTCTAAGGAAGCAATAAAATACCATTAGGCTTCAGGCAGCCCTGAAAAGCCTGCTGAGCTATTTCAGCAGGAGCTGCAAAAAAGTTGGAAAACTATTACAGACACTCTTTGCATTTTGAATGGATGAAATGCCACTGGATCAGAGTGTCATGTGTTGCAGCTCGGTTAAACCAGGCACTTTGAAGGAGCATGAGTCCTGGAGTGTGGTTGCCCCTTTGGCACTTTCCATAGTCAGTACTGGTTTGCATGCCAGTGGTGCTCACTGATTGTGTAACGAAGGGGTATCTGAAAGTAGCAGCAGAGGCATTATTTCTTGGAGGTGCTTCTTTTACAGCTGTCTAATTAAAACATTTTTGTGAATTTTTTAAAGGGGCCTTTTAAAGTTGCTGCATGAACCCCTAGGCTGTGGTGTCTCTCGTCTCCAAAGTCCAGGGCTTAGTCATATCAGCGTCCATAAAGTGTTCCTGTACTCTTTGAACCTCAGTTTCCTTATCTGTAAAATTATGAGAATTAGGCTAGATCAATGGTGTCAAATTCAAATAAAAATAGATCCCTACAGGCCATATGTTGACTTAGAAGACCATAAATTAATATTATCTATTCTTTATTGTATTTTTATTTATTTTGTTAGATATTTCCCAGTTACATACCTCTGGACTAAATGACCTCTAAGGTGCCTTCTGTGGATCTGTAATGCTGTAATGTGAAGAGAGTATATAAATGTGAGATATTGCTATATTTTCTTAGCAAGGCATACCCCCTCCAAAACTTTTTTTTAGGGACTACAAAAAGCTGCTACAAGGATGGGAGCAAATTTTTTTTTCTCTTTTTCATCCTTTTTCATACAAGGACTTTGTGTCTCAAGAAATTGTGAAAAAAGAGCAGGATAGTGAGAAGAGTGGTAAGGGGAATTGGAGGTTGGGAGGACAAAGATTCTGATTTGCCTCCTGGATAACAGGTACATTTGTTTTCCTTGTCATTACATGTAGATCACTATGACCCTGATTATGAATTTCTGCAGCAAGACCTTTCTGCCACTGACCAGATACCTCAGCAAGTAGCATGTAACCTTAGCCCATTGCCAGAATCTGTTGGTGAATCTGGCTCTCCTTTCCATGGACATCCTTTCCAGCTGCCACCAGGCAACTCCCCACAGCTAGAGCTTGGCAACCCCCTGCCTACGGTGCATTCTTCGGACATGCCTCCTGCCCTGCCTGAGAAGAAGCGGAGGAGTGCAGCCTCTCAGACCACGGACAGCTCCAGCTGTAGAATCTCCTATGAGAGGCATCCTTCCCAATATGACAACATCACAGAGGATGATCTCCAGAATCCAGCCTCCCTCCAGCCAATATCTTTCACACCATTCGCTGCTGTTCTCCCCTTCCAGCAAGGGGGCTCTTCAGCCCCTGTTGAGTTTGTGTCTGATTTTGCTGCTCCCGAGTCAACAGGTGACCCTGAGAAACCACCTCCACTACCTGAGAAGAAGAACAAACACAGTAAGCCTTTGATGAGAGAATGTTTGTGAAAGTACTTTGTAAACTCACAAATGTAAGGTGTTAGCATCGTTTTTTCTTTCTCCCTTCCCCTCATTCTTTCTCTATTTCCTGCTTGATCCATGGGGGTGACCAGTGAGTTCGCAGGAGGCTAAGGTACTGCCTATGCCTTTGTCAGGAGGGCCTTTATTGCTCCATGGGCATTAATCTATGTTGAGGAAAACTCAACACCATTGAAGGAGAATTTATGGAAGAGCAGCATGTTCTATTATACAAAAAACACATAGGACCTGAAGCCCGAAGACCTGGGTTTGAAGCTAGATTTCAGTTCTCACCAAATGGAGGACTCTTAAGATCCCCAGGCTTTGTTTTTTTTTTCATCTGTCAAATGAGGGGATTGGATGAAATGATTGCTAAGTCCCTTCCAGCTCTGAGTCTGTGAGGTAGGAGATCTGGCTTTGAGTCCTGGCTATGCCCCCTACGATCATGGGCGAGTCACTGCACTTTCTATAAAATGGAGGTAACACTACACATTTCCTAGAGTATTTACAAAGAAAGCTCTTTGTGATCTATAAAGCACCATTTGAATGTGAGCCTTTATCATATTAATTTATGATTAGGTATTAGAAAAGAATACTGATTTTGTTCATTTTGTTCCAAATGTGGCCTCCCTGGGAGGGAGTGACTAGTAAAGAAAATATTTAAGTCCAAAAGTGTGAGAGTGAGTGAGTGTGTGTGTGTGTGTGTGTGTGTGTGTGTGGTAACTTTAATTGCAAAGATTCATAGGCCAGTTATTCTGTGTTTATTACAAACCTGTAACAAAGCTTGGTGGGAGAGCAGGTTTTTTGTGTGAAAAATGCATAGTTGACTTCTTAACAAAGGAACAAAGACCTCTTTTGCATGAGAATAGTTCAAGTTGCAGAATCATTCAACAAATTCAGGCACATTTTCTTGGTTAATCTGAAAAGAAGTCATACAAGTGCCTCCACCAGGAAGTCTCCTGCTCCTTTGAGAATGGGATCCAGGGTGTGATGGTGGGGCTTAGGAGGGTTTAGAAGGGACCTTAGGGACCATCATATCTGCTGAGACTGAAAGGAGTTAAGTGACTTGCCCAGGACCACACAGCCAGAATTCAGACTCAGATTTTTCTGACTCCACCTTCCATACCTCATGCACTCTGTCACCTGACTGCCTCTTCTAGTTCTGTGTGTCGTATTGTCATGGAGTCAGGGATAGAGTTGAAAGGGCCTTCAGAAGCCATCTTCGTCCACCCCCACCAACTTCCATTTCACAAACGAGGAGACAAACGGAGGCCCGTAGAGGGGAAGTGGTTTGTTCAGGGTAACGCTGGTAATAAGTAGCAGAGCCGGGATTCAAACCTGGGTGCAGATGGCCATACGGGGGCTTTTTCTACCCTGCCTCCCATACATCCTCAGTCTCTAAGAACCGTGTAACTAAGGTGTGACCAAAGGCCATAAGGAAGATCTACCATCATGGACCATTCCTCACCTGTATCTAGCATGATTTGCAGTTTTAAAATTTTAGATGAATCCTTGAACTTGAGGTTGGAAGGGTCCTTCATGATCATCTCCATTTTCAGCATCACACACAGTCAAGACGAGAACCTAGGCCTCTTCGCTCCCAGTGTTCTTCACAGCAGACCCTGTCACCTGTGAGATGATGCTGTTGAAACTCTTTGTAAAGAGATGTGCATTTTGAATGATCTTTCCACTACAAGTTACAGATTCATTCTCATCTATCTACCTGATTTCCACATACACCACAAACCCAGCCCAAAGCAGCTGTTGATGCACTGGGTAGGGTGCCAGGCCTGGGGTCTGGAAAACCAGACTTCAAATCTGGCCTCTCAGGCCTGGGCAAGTCATGGATCTCTGTTTCCCTTCGTTTCCTCAACTCTAAAATGAGGATAGGAACAGCACCTACCCCTCAGAGTTGTTGTGAGGATCAAATGAGATAATATTTATAAAGTGCTTTGCACAGTGCCTGTCTTGCATAATAGACACTAAGTAAATGCTGTTCCCTTCACCTTCCCTTCCTCCCTCCCTTATTTACAGGTGTTGGGGGGAAGAGCATTGTACAGGCTGTAACTATAGAACAGTGGAGAGAGTGAACTGTCTTAGGCACAGATTAATCAGTCAATCAATAAGCATTTATTAAGTACTTTATCTGTACTAGGTGCTGAAGATACAAAGATAAAATTGAAACCCTCAGTGAATGTGTATTCTGTGAGGGGAGATAACATGTACACATATAGCACTAGGTGGCCTCTTGGGCCCTTCCAACTCTGGCTCTTTGATGCTGTGTGTATATACAAAACAAATACAGGAGAATTTGCTTGATCAGACATAGAAGGTGGCCTTTGAGCTAAGCTTTAAAAGATTGAACGCATAACCTAAGTTCCATCAGGATAGTTTGCTAAATCTGTGAGTGAGCCAACTTGCATCCACATAGAGAGGGAGATGATGGGACCCAGCCCTTCCACATTGCCCCAAAGTCATCATCCTATAACGTGGGGCAGAGTGCTTCTGGGTATTTCTGGTTGTCCCAAATAATCATTATCAGTACACGTGAATAATCATGTAGACTTCTCAGCATGTGTGACACTTGATGGAGTTCTGTAGGCTAAGGAGATTGGTAGAACATGGCGGAAGAAAGACATAATCCTTCCCCCTCAGGATGTGATTGCTTATATACAGGTCTCTAGGTCTCTAGATCTCTTTTAACTAGGTCTCTAGAGATGATTTTGAAAATCCTCATCATGAAACCAAGACATCCTCAAGTGTTCATCTTCATTCACAAAGCAAGAATAAGTGTTTCATAGACTATTAAGGCTAGAAAGGACCTTAGTGACTCCCTAGTCCATCCATCTGTCATATACATGAGGAAGCTAATGCCTCTGGAGGAGAAGGAACCTTGCCCAAGTACATGGAGCAAGGCCAAGGTCTCCTTGACTCCCAATTCAGGAGCCATTCCACTCCACCCTTCCACCTTTACCTTTTCAGGTTAGCTCATGGGATCATGGGACTTAGAGACAAAAGGGACTTTATAGATTGATTAGTCCAGTCTTTTATTTTACACATGAGTAAACTGAGACCAGGAGGAGGGAAAGGATTTGCCCAAGGCTACAGAGATACGTGGAAAATCTGAGATTTTAAACTCAAGTCTTCTGATTTTAAATTCGTTACTCTTTTCAACACACCATGTGGCTTCTCCATTAATACCTATGTCCTTTTCAATAGGCATTGTGATGTGGAGGTAGAAGAACCACTTTTACATGAGTTGTTTTCCTTATATAATATATCTATAGCTTGAAGCTTAGACTGTAAGCAAGTGAGTGGCCCCATTCTGTCATGGAAGTGAGGAAGCCCAGGCAGTTGGCCAGTTCTAGTTCTGCAAGCCTGACTTCATTAATATGGATAATCTGAATAAACCACTGCAGTCTTTTTCTAAAATAGCATTCTAAGCTGCCTTTCCCTGTACTATCACAGTGGCCTCTAAAACCTTACATCAATCAGCAAGAATTTATTAAGTGCCTACTATGTGTCAACCATTGTGCTAGGGTCTGAGGATACAAAGACAAAAAAGAAACAGTCCCTGCCCTCAAGGAGCTTACATTCTCTCAGGAGAGCAAATCAGTCCCAAAATGGTGGTCAGTTGACGCCTCCAGTGGTAAAGCTTTTTCTGTTGATTCAGTTATAGAAATAGAATAAGGAGGTCACATTGCCCTATCTGTGTGTTACTGTGAAGATTGACCGAGCATCATCAAGTGTGAAACAGAAAGCTATTTGAGTTGTAGGGACACAGCATGGACATAATGGGCCATCCTCAGACTCAGGAAGAAGTCCTGGGTTCAAGTCCCACTTCTCTCACATAGGGGCCACATATGTGATTTCAGGAAAGCTGCATAACATTGCAGGGCCTGAGGCAACAGCCCTCTGAGGCGCTAAGATACAGACCATGTGCTGATCTGCCTTGGTGGTGGGAGTTGGTGCCCCGCCAGGGCTTTCTTGTATTATTGAAATCACATATCTGGTCCCCACCCTCAAAAAGTGGATTTTGCCTATCACAGTCTTAAGCTAGAATCCTGCAGTGTAATTCTCTACTCCATGCAACTCAATCTAGTTCCCTGGCTATGTAGTAAGTCCCTTCAATGTGCAGGTCCTGTGCTAGGTGTTGGTGATACCAAGCAAAAACAAAATAGGCTGGGCCTTCAAGGAGCTTACATTCTAACAGGATACAACCTATACCCAAGCCAACACCAAGTAGTTATTTAAGAGGTAGCATGATATAGTCGATAGATAGAGTGTTGGACCCCGAGTCAGGAATACATGAGTCCAAATCCCACCTTAGACATTTACTCTTTTTTACTCTGGGGCAAGTCACTCAACCTATCTGAGCCTTAGTTTTCTCATCATAAAATGGGGATAATAATAGCACGAGTCTCAGGTCCGTTGTAAGAAATCAAATGATGTGATGTCTATAAAGTATTTTACAAACATTAAAGCACTATATGAATGAAGCTAATATTATAATTGTAAAGAACATGCAAAGTGATTTCTAAAGGTAGAAATGCTACTAACCTTAACAATTGGGAAAGGCATAGTTTAGGAGGTGATATTGAACTGTGCTTCAGAGGAAGTTTGGGATTCTCCAAGGCAGAAGGGAGGAGAGAGGGCCTTTTATTCATGGAGGACCACTTTTCAGAGGTATGGAATTTGGAAATGGAACCTTAAATACAGGGAACAGTGAGTAGCAGACCAGTTTGACTAGGACAGAGTGTGTGAAGGGGGTTAGTGGTGATATGAGATAAGACCAGAAAGGTAATCCAGAGCATTTTATGTGAGAAGCAGTAAGAAGTCATTGAAGGTTTTTGAGGGTGAGAGAGAGAGAGAGAGAAATCAGATCTGTATTTTAGGAATATCAGTTTAGCAGGTGTGTATGATTGGAGAAGGGAGAGGCTGGAAACAGCATCAGTCTTTGAG